ACTGAAGGCAACCATTGTGACCTACCTTCCTGATTTTGTTTTCTTTTCTGAAACCAAAAAAGAAAAAATCCTTTATTAAAACTGTTTGTAAAAATTTGCTGGTTAATGATTAATTGGATTGTATATATTCTGTAGGGTCTAGGGGGTATGTTAGTGCTCTGGTCTTAGAGGATTATAGTATTTGATATAGTTAACAATAGTTTTAGTATGCAGCTTTGTTTTCAGTAGAATAGGGGGAAGGATAATATGTGGGTCATCTTTGTGTATGCTAGTACTGATCTTGTAGAAAGAAGGCACCAGTTGGAGTTTCTTCATAATAACCAGTGTAGATGGGGGGATAAGTGGTTTATTGTCGGGGATTTCAATGACATTTTACACAATGGGGAGAAGAGAGGAGGGTTGAAAAGAGGGGAGGCCAGTTTTCAACCCTTTAGGGATTTTGTTCATACTCTTAGTTTAGTTGATTGTCCAAGTGTGGGGCATGGCTTTACTTGGGCTAATAATAGAAAGAGGAGGGAGTTTATTGAAGAGAAGCTTGATAGGTTTTTTCTGTCTCCTGAGTGGTGTTTTAATTTTCCAAATTGCTCAATTCTTCATGTTCCCCTAATATCTTCGGACCATTGCTTATTACTTATAGATGTTGGTTTAGATGTATTTACATTGAACCCGTTTGAATGAGAATCATGTTTAATTAAACAAGTCTATGTTCAGTTGTTTTGCACTTACATAGAATGGGTCGTCATCGGGCGACATAAGATCATTCTATTAGTTACTTGCGAAACAAGAATTCTGGTTCACAATCCAGATGGAAATGAACACCCCATCATGAACGGTTGTAGTGTTAACCGTCCAGTTGGTGTTGACTGATTAGTTACACTAGTACACTTTGTGTATTGAATGGATTCTAGAGAGGATAAGTTCGTTTTATACTGATCATCGTAAACGAACTAGGCCTCGGTTAATTATTGCGTACTCTTAACCCGTAAGATATAAACAGGCATGTTGATGCAGCATTTATTAATTTAATTCACTTGAGTGAGATTCAGTTTACTGGATCAATACACTTACTGTTTTGGGTAATATTATTGTATATACGACGTGCTGTTAGAATATTTACGGTCATCGTGTGGCGATAGTTTGATGATGTCCCCGAGATAAGCTCATAAAGGATTATTATGCTAAATTTGGCTAGTGGAATTTATTCCGACATAATAATAATGGTATGAGTGGTACTAATCTCGGTTATAAATATCGATTAATTTAATTTTCAGTAATTAAATTAATTGATGGACATATATCTTAAACACAGAGAGATAAATCGAGTAATTATTATTGGAGCCTCGAAAATAATTCGAGAATTAAAATAGGAGTTTATTCAATAATACTACTTTAGTGGAATGAATGTATTATTCTTATTTGGGTTTGGTAGACTTGGTTTATAGTCTAATCCTAATAGGAGAAGCCCAATTTAGTACCTCATTAGGGTCCTGTTGTAGTCTATAAAATCTAAATATATCACATCTCTTGGGATTAAGAAACATCAGATAATTCACGTGAGACACGCACGCCGCCCTATGTGTGCTCTCTTATCTCTTTTGTTCTCTTCTTCTTCTCTAAGTAATTCCAATACAGATATCTTCGATTTAATCTTCCACCAAGATGATCGGAGTAGATGTCGGGTCATACAATAGAAGATTTAAGGTGATCGAGCAAT